CCCCCCCCCCCCCCCCCGACACCACCCGCCCGACCCGGGATCCGCGCCCCTCCGGCCTCCCCAGCTCTGCGTGCGGCTGGGGCTGCGAGACGTCCCCAGGCACCGGCGTCGGGAGGTGCGGCCGCAGGGGAGGAGTCGCTGGAGCGGGTGGCTGGGGAGAAGGGTCGGTGCAGCGGCTGGGGAGGGGGTAGCGTGGCCCGGCTCAGCCTGGCAGGTTCCCGCGCTGCGCCCCGCGCGCCCGCCGCCCAGCTCCCTCCCGGCGGACTGCTCCTCCCGGACTTCGCCGGGCCGTACAGTGGGTGGGCCACGGGAGGCCCCAACCCCACCCCAAGGCAGTTGCCAGTGCGCACAGCAGCCCCAGGGGGTGAGGGCGAGGGTGGGGAGGAAATCTGGACCCTTCCCTCCGGGAAACTGCCCGTCTCGGTCCTGCGACGCCTGGGACCCTGAGATGTCGCCGCTCCACGCGTCCAAGTGTCCAGGACGCACAGACCTCGGGCAGAGCGCTCTGCTGGCCGCAGACCGGCGGCGACCTCCTCCTCCCAGCTGTCCAGGTCCCAGGGGCGGGGTGAAGGGGCGCGGCGGGGCTAGTCCTCCGCCCACCCGGGGCGGCGTGGAGGCGGAGCCAGGGCCGGCGGGCGTCCCTGACTGCGGGCGGGGAGGAGCAGGGCGGGCCCCGCGACAGAATAAGAGCCCGGAGGCCGCGGCCGCCCAGCGCAGCAAGACCCAAGCCGGAGCTTTCGCGCACGTTTGGCGGCAGGACTCCAGCGCAGAGCCGAGGCTGGGCGGGCAGGTAAGGCAGGCGCACCCCGTGGGCGCCTCCCCGCACTTCTCTCTGCGGACCCCAAAGGCCGTGGCTGAGGGGCACCAGGTTGGGGCGATCACCGTCGGGGGCGCCGCGTCCGGTGGATGGCAGCGTCTCGAAAACTCGCCAACAGTCACGGGTGCACAGTGCGTCCCGAAAGTCCCATTCGCGACCTTAAGGCTGTCAGTGGCTAAGAGATGTGTGCACAAGAGGGAGTTGCAGGGCTGATGTGCGCCCCCTTGGCCCTGGCCCCGGTCCAGCCTCAGGCTTCGGATGACGGGGACACGGGAGGTCGTCCCCAGAGTCCCTGCCGCGCAGGCACAGGTCGGGGTGGGAGGGTGGTGCGTGGCTGCTTGTTGCTGATTCCCTGGTGTTGAACCAGATGCGGTGCAAGGGGAGGCGGACCTGGGCAAAGTGGACCCCAAGTTCGGTCGGGGCGGTTTTCTCAACCAATGCTTCATCTCGCAGAGTTCATCTGTGATCTCTAGGATCTGTGTGGGCCTGCGGAGCTGCGGGCCTCTGTGCGTCCAGGCTGATGGTGGGGGAGAAGGGAGCGAACCACACTTTATCAGCCAGCTCTATTTCTCCTTCTGGGCTCAGTGAGGAAAGACGCTTTCTAAGAGGCCGTGTTTTGCTTTCTGTACCCAAACCTGGCCTTTGAGGGGGATTTCAGCAGTGGGGTGGGCTCACCCCCAGCGCTGAGGGTGGGCTTCCGGGCAGATGTCCCCCATGTGCCTGCAAGGGCTGTGGTCAGAGCAAGATGGCTGGGAAAGGCCATCTGAGTCTCCAGCCCTCTCCAACTGGACCCCACTGCAGGCCAGGCCCACCTGCTCCGCAGCCACTGCCACCCCTTCTGGGCTGTTCTCAGGCGTCTCAGGAATGTGTTGTTGGGTTTGTCACGGGGGGGGGGTGAAGGGGCCACAGAGAAGTAGCGCATAAAATAACTTTTGTGAGTGTTTGTTCAAACTTGGTTGCAGAGGAAAATTATCCCATTTGGCTGCCACCTCCCTTCTGCTTTAGCCAGTGTGTGCGTGTGTGTGTGTGTTTATGCACGTGTGTGTACATTCGAAACAATGCTGATGGATCCAAATGCCAGAAGTCATATTTGAAGCTGCTGTTGGCTGGGACCGTGTAATTTCTTCTGTTCTCCTTGATTGCATTACTCCTGGTTTAGGAAAGTGATTTGAAAACAGTTTCCCTGGTAAAGTTGCTGAGTACAGGAGCTAGCCTACCCCTTGGGCAGATCCTGACAGGACGCTCCCATCTCCCCTCGACTCTTCCACGTGGGGCTCATGAGTCGCAGGTGGCGGGTGGATGTGGGTCACACAGGCATTCCTTGAAGAAACCGTTGTGATCGTTATATTTAAACTTTGAATTACCGTGGCTGATTTTGGTTATAGAAAATTTGCTCTTTACTTTTATTGCTGAGTGTAAAGAAAGCATATGTGCTGTTATAAAGACTCATTATTGAATGCTGTTTGAAGTTATGAAATTACTCCCTGGGAATGTGGGGGAGGGCGGAGGTGACATCTTGCATGATTATTAAAAGCAAAGTTAGAGATCACACAGCATTTCACTTTGATGGGCATGGAGACCGACGCTGGGGAAAGAGGGCACAAAGCCGAGTCTGTCCTAAGGTTTCCCCGGCTGGTCTCCCCTTGTCCCCTCAAGGAGAACGAGCTTGTCTCCAGCCATCCTCAGCCTCGGATGTGTCATCTTAGGTGCTTGCAATGTATTTGTTCCACCTGAAAGAAATGAACGTAAATGCCTCAGACCTCTCAGATGGCTGCTCTCGCCACTGGGCACATCCGTGGTTCTGCTGCTAAATGGTTGCATTCCTGTGTGTGTTTATTTTTCATGCTGGCTGAAGCCCAGGAGGGAAGAAGCGCAGGATCCTAGGTTCCAGTCTGACCATGAATAGAAGCAAATGCTCTGTGGGGCTGATGTCCTCCGCGGTGGCCCCAGCTACGGAGCCCAACGCCGTGGGCCCAAAGGCGGTGGAGCTCGTCCTGATCAAGGAGCAAAACGGGGTGCAGCTCACGAACTCCACCCTCATCAACCCCCCGCAGACCCCCGTGGAGAACCAACATCGGGAGACCTGGAGCAAGAAGGTAGACTTCCTCCTCTCGGTGGTCGGCTTCGCGGTGGACCTGGCCAACGTCTGGCGATTCCCTTACCTGTGCTACAAAAATGGCGGGGGTGAGTCCAGACCCCGCCCTCCCCAGCCCCTGCTGAGCTAGAGCCACAGGCGGCTGGAGGTGCTTTCGAGAAATGCGCACTCTGGCGAGATAACTGCTTTCTTAGGTGGGATGGGGCTCCTGACTTAGCACTAGGGGGGGTGCAGGTTCCCCCAGACAGATGTCACAAAACTGTAGGTGCAGCAGGGGGTAGAGCTCAAATGACGTCCTTCCGTGTCTGTACCCTAAAGTTGGGGACATGGGGGCCAGGGAAGCAGACGCTGGAGTTAGTGGTTGGAGGTGCCATGGCTCTGCCTTCTGTTTCCAAAGGTCATTTTCATTCCAGAAAGAAAACTCTCAAAGGCCCAAAGAAGGGCATCTTTGGCAACTTCAATGGTGTTTACAAAGTGTGCTTGTGAGGGAACTTGGAGTGGCAGAAGATGCCCTGGACATGTGCCCTTCTGCCTCCATGCGCTCCCACTGCTCCCTGACCTCAGCCAGACCTAGGACCACGGCTGTCCCTGGACGCAAGGCAGAGAACTAAGATAAGGGGCAGGGTCAGCCCAAAAGTTCCAGTTGAGAAGCCAGTTAAGTTGGTGCTCATTTCCCATGAGCCCTCCTGACGCCTCCATGTCCCCTTCCGGTCCTCCATGCCTCGCTGGTCACTGTGCTGCAAACCTGGAGAACCTTGGGAGATCTTCTTGGGGAGGGCCTTCCAGCTGCCGCTGAGTGGTAGGTTGGCATTACTATGCCCGTCATGAGGCCTAAGCAGGCACAGTAAGTTGCCCAAAGACAGACTGAGCTGTGGGGCCTCCCCATCCCAGGAGGAGAGCCATGACAAAGCTCCCTGTTATTTGAGGCAGAGCAAGAGGGCTTCAGAAGGCAGAGTCCAGGGCCCTGAACTTTGTGCCCAGGGTGGGGCACAGCTCCAGGAGGCTTGAGGTGCTGCCCTGGAGGAACTCTGGCCCCTCGGGCAGTACCTGTCAGCAGATGGCTTCAGCCGTGGCCTCAGTGGGGGCAGGCTGAGAAGGCCAGAACCCTTGTATGGCCAGAGTTGGGAGCACAGATCCCAGAGGATTCAGAACTCAAGAGGGGCAGACATTTCCACAGGGGGGCAAGCGGGGCAGAGGCCAGGCCTGCTGGGCAGGCAGGGAAGGGGCTGCACCCTGGAGCAGGGCTGCAATGTGGGCGAGGCCTTACCTGCTCTGCTCTTGAGATGAATTCATCACTTGGGGGACTGGTTGGGGGCTTCACTAGGGATGTGTCAGGGCACTGGTGACAGTGGGGCCAGGCTGGAGGTAAGGGAGCACCCCGTGCAGCCTGTGACTTTCCTTTGGAGGGTGGCCACGCTGGGGAGCTCCAGGGAGGAGCAGAGAGTGGGGCGGCATGCACGGTCAGCTGTAGAGACGGCAGGGCCTCCGCAGCCCCGGGCTGAAGGTGCTGTCCTCCCACAGGTGCCTTCCTGGTCCCTTACCTGCTCTTCATGGTCATCGCGGGGATGCCCCTCTTCTACATGGAGCTGGCCCTGGGACAGTTCAACAGGGAGGGGGCTGCCGGCGTCTGGAAGATCTGCCCCGTCCTGAAAGGTAGCCTGCGCCTCCTAGCACCTGGGGGGAGGCGGCCCACGGCGGTGGCCCTGGACCAGTCCTGTGCATCCGGTCCTGCTTTGCTGGATAACCGTGCACATGGGCCCACCATTTTAATTGTGGTCCTCCCTTTAAAGATCTGTAATGACCAAGGATTCTAGAATGTGTTCTCTCGCTCCCAGCTGAGGTCTCCTGCAATTCATCAGCAGTGCTATTTTGTTAAAGTGGTAGATAAGATAAAACATCCATCTATATACCCATCTACTATCTATCATCTGCCTATCCATCATCTAGCTCCCTATATCCACATCTGTCTGTCTATCTACTTAGCATCCACATCTATTTATCTTCTATCCATCATGTATCTCCCTATCTACCTATCATCCACATCTGTCTGTCTATCTACCTATCATCCATATCTATTTATCGTCTATCCATCGTCTATCTATCATCCATGTCTATCTATCCATCATCTATCTGTCCATCATCTTTCTACCTATCATGTATCTATCTATCTACCTATCATCTGTCTATCATTTACCTATCTATCATCTGCCTATCCATCATCTGTCTCTCTATCTACCTACCTATCTATCATCCACATCTGTCTGTCTATTTATCTACCTATCTGCCTATCATCTGTATCTATTTATCATCTATCCATCATCTGCCTATCCATCATCTATCTCTCTATCTACCTATCATCCATATCTGTCTGTCTATCCATCTACATATCTACCTATCATCCATATCTATCTATTTATCATCTATCCATCATCTGTCTATCATCCATGTCTATCTATCTATCCATCATCTATCTACCTATCATCTATCTATCTATCTATCTATCATCTATCTATCAATCTATCTATCATCTATCTATCATCTAACATCTACCTATTATCTATCTACCTGTCATCTATCTATCTGTCATCTATCTAACATCTACCTATCATCTATCTATCCATCCATCCATCCATCCATCCATTTGCATGAGTTTGCTAGGGCTGCCGTACAAAGTACCACAAACTGAGTGGCTTAAACAATACACATTTATTGTCTTGGTTCTGGTGGCCAGAAGTCTAAGATGGAGGTATCGGTGAGGTTGGTTCCTTCTGAGGCTCTGACGGAAAATCTGTTCCGGGCCTCTCTCCTTGACTCGTGGGTGACCATCTTCTCCCTTTGTCTTCACACCGTCTTCCCTCTATGTGCATCTCTATATCCAAATTTCCCTTTTTGTAGGGAAATCGTCATATTGGACTAGGGCCCACTCTAATGACCTCATGTTAACTTGATTGCCTCTGTGAAGACCCTGTCTCCAGATAAAGTCACATTCTGAGGTGCTGGGGGTTAGACTTCAACAAATGAATTTTGAAGGGACACAATTCACTGCATAACACTATCTATCATCTATATATCCATCCATCAATCTATCCCTCTATCTAGCTATCGTCTGTCATCCATCTATTTATCATGTCTCCAGCAACCATCTATCACCTATCTATCAATTATCTATTATCTACCTGTCTATCATCTATCATATCTATCTATCTATTATCTATCTATCATGTATCTATCAACCGTCTATCATCCATCCATCATCTATCTACCTACCTCCCCATGGATCTATCATCCATCTAACTATCTAGTTATCCATTGAGCTTTCCCTACTGCTGAGGCAACGCCACGGTGCCATGGGGCAAACACAGCTCGTGCCGAGCCCGGTGGCATGCCTGGTGACTGACCCTCCCATGATCACCTCACTCCTCCTCACGAGAGCCCTGGGGAAGCCCACGGCATGCTGTCCCCGTCTCAGAGGTGCAGCACTGAGGACTGGAGGCACTGAGTGACTCGCCCATCGCCTCGACAGGGGCGGGGTGGGATTCGACCCCACAGCTGTCTAACTCCCCAGTCCAGCCACCGGGTCACGCCTGCCCACTGGGCCAGCACTGCATCTCAGGAGCTGGTGGCACAGCGAGGGTCCAGGCACTTCCTCAAAGAGACACAGGGAGGCGCCTGCTGCAGACAACTGGCTTCATTAAGAAAATGGCTTTTAAAAAATCATTCTTTGGATTTTCTGGGAAGTTCTTGCAAAGTTGGTTCTCTTGAGAAAAGCGGAAGCCCCAGCGGTCCCCAAGGACGTGCTCTGGGTGGGTCAGTGGGTTCATGATCAGAGACAGCAACTCATCCATCCTTCGGGATGAGAACATCTCACAGCTGCACGGTCGTCTCTGCAAGGAGGACACGGCCCTTGAGGCGGCGGAAGCGCTGAGGCTGGCCAGGCGTGAGGGCTCCTCCCGGTCGCTGTCTGCTTTCCTTCTTGATGGCCTGCTTGGTGACTCTTAAGATGTTAGCAATTTTTTCCTGGGCTAGCTGATTCATGGGCCCACCTTAAAATGGAGCTACAGAGAGACCTCCCTCCCCACCCCCCACACACATCTTCAGAGCCAGAGAGGGACAACTCTGGGTTCAGGAGCCAGGAGCTGGCATCCCCTGGGTGGGTGTGCATGCAGAAGTCAAAGCTTAAATGCGTTGCCTGAGGCTCGGCTGGCACCGTCGTTGTTTCTGGATGGAGGAGTGCGGTGGTAGCTGCAGGCACCAGGCACCTCTTAGCGACAGATGCGTGTGTCGAATCAGACATTTCAGCGTCTGTTGGCTGGCACAGTGTTGATCCGGGCGAGGGCAGTGAACCCAGACTAACAGTTCATGACACAGATGAGTTCATCATGTTCTCCTGGGCTCCGCCGGGCAGCGCTAACATGTCACGCAGTCATCCGCTGTGACGAACCAGCGCTCTGGGGTCAGTATTTCCATAGCATTAAAATGCCAAATCAGAAATTAAGCGTCCCCACCCTCAGGTGACCGTTCTGGGGAAAAGTTGAGGAAGGATGCCTCCACACACAAATTCGCACCTCTGGACTTCCGAGAGTCGCCCCTCACATCTGGAGTATGTCAGGTTCTTTAGTGACGTGACCCTGTGCCACCTCCCACCAGGGAGTCCAGTGCTGACTCACAGGAAATCCGCTCCTGCCTGTGATCGGCAGGGCTTGGAGGGACCTGAGGGGAGGGGACAGGACGACGACCCCAAGGGTTTTGTGTTGCCATCTATAAAATGTCAATCAACGATTTCCAAGGATTTCGAAGCACTACTTAGTCCTAACAAATTTGCATTAAGACAGAAAATCTGACTCCAGTAGGAATGAATATCAGCCCCACACTGTAGAGGAGTGGAGACTGTAGACGCGGGCGTTTCTCCACGCGCCCCCAGACACCGCGTCCACGCCTGGAGGGAAGGTGGGCAGACATGCGTTAGTCCAGGCATCTACTCCTCATCCAGCCCCACGTTCACACTCTCGTGTCCCGTGTCAGCTTTTGTCCATTTCTGAAAACTCATCCACGAGGAGGACTGTGCCAGGGCCGAATAAGGCCACAGGAAGAAATGCAGTGTGGCCCCTGTGGGAGAATCTCGGTCAGAGCCCAGTCACCCCACACACACCCTGGAAGTTGGGTTATGGGTCGCGGAGAGCCAACCGTCAAGCTCTGGAATCTTTGTGTAATCAGCACAGGGCTGTGTGTTTGCTGAAGAGATAAGCGGATCGGGGCAAGGACACTAGACCTTTGTTTTTGAGGAAGAGACACCTGGACAAGTTTAACACCCTAATCGAGCTGCAGGTCCCAGCAGGTGTTTCCCACTTGGTTAGCTTATATTTTATCCACACGATGCCCGTTTGGTAGGAGTCTGTTGTTGCTCCGCTCAGGTCCTAACCACGCTGTTCTGGATGCCCTGGCACAGTGCCTTCTCTTCCCTTGTCTTTTTTAAAGAAATTAATTCATAAAATTTCATGTCCCTCCATATGTCATTGAAGAAGGGTGCTGCATGGTAAATGAAGACATCAGTTAAAAACCCAGATAGTCATTTGGGGCTAAAGGTCATCCAGTCCTCATGTCCGTGCCGCTGTGAACACCTTCTCCTGTAGACACTGAGCTGAACTCTCCAGAGAGCCTGCGTCCCCATCCCTTCCCTCCCTGGGACCTGGGAGCCGTTCCTGTGCCTGACTGGCACTGAGGCCCCGAGACAAAGCCAGGTGGCAGCGTCCACAGGGAGGGTGAGCTGCTACAGAGCCCAGGACTTACTCGGTTCTCTGTCGGTCTCTCCAGAGCCCTCAGGTGGACACGTGGCCGAGAGGCGGCAGGTGGCCCTCAGCACCCAGAAGTGTCATCTCAGGGCCTGGGGAGAAGTCTGTCTCCCTCCCTCTCCCCCTTCCTCTCTGTCTCTCTCTGATGTGAGCACACATGCACACACACACACACACACAAACACCCCATCAGATACTGAAGACACCCAGACCAATAGCGCAGGAATTCTCTCCTGTTTTCTTCCAAATGACCTGCCGGTGACTCTCGCGGAGAACGGGAAAGCTGCTCCACCAGGGAGCGCGTTCTCGCTGGTGCTCCTGGAATGAGAGCTTGTTTATGGCACTCTCTGCTGAGCCGGCTTTGGTGGACCCTCTGGATCACACTGGATCTGGAGGGTGGAGAAGCACGGCTGCTGTGCTCTCCTGAGGCCTGAGGAGGTGTCTTCTTGGGTCATCCGGTCAATTGCCAAAGACAAGCCCGTTTTACCTATGCTGTGGAGATGCCGCTTCCTATTTTAAGGAATATAAAATAATTTATGATATTTTGTAGTCAATATTTTAGTGTGATTTATCCAACTCTTTCTAAAAAGAATTTTAGGTGACAAAATAAAACAAGACAAAATACGCACAAGGTAATATAAGAAAGACTAAGAAAAATAGAAATTTAAGAAAATTGACGTTAAGAGCTGTGATTGAAATTCACATTTAGCCCTGAGCTTCCTGGGAGTCAGATAAAAGAGGAAAACCTCAAGTTTGCATTAATGTTTGCATCAGAAATATTAGCAGGGAGTGAGCCTGCCACCTTCTTGGGGGAGACAGATCCCTGTGGCACTTGATGAAAGAACTGTGTCAGTGGAGCTTTATTTAGAGGATATGATGATGTGATGAACACTGATCACGAGAACATTCTTCTAATGAACAGAGAAATGGATTTTGTGTGGCCCAGTCTGAAGTGACACCAAGGAGGAACGTGGTGAAGGTGGCCCAGGCCTGTGGCTTTCTGTGGCTTTTCCTGAAGGGCAGAGCTTGGAGTGACCAATCAAATGGCTGACACTTGCACCCACCTTCCGAGGGGATCGTCCCTTTCCCTGGGGCATTTGGGGCAGCTGGAAAGCAGCACAGGAGAGGCGGCGGTCCTGGATGGGGGAGAGCCTGCGGGGCTGGTGTGCTGTGCTGCTGACGGGGTGAGCCCATGGGCTCCGGAAGCCACATCAGCCTGTGGCGACCGTGTCACTCTGTTGTGAAGGTTGAAAAACTTGGCCTGCCCCCGTGGAGGGCTATCCACACAGTGGTAGGTTCCAGAAGGACCAGAGGCAGTCAGCTCTTCCTTCAGACACAGAATTTGAACCTACTCCAGTGTTTAATCAAAGCCTCCTATAAGTTCCCAAAGTTTCAAGCTGAGGATTTGGTATACAAAGTTTTAACTTTGAAAAGATTTCCATTCAGGCATCCACAGTCAGCTCACTGCCAGGGAAAACCTTCTCTGATGCGCTTTGAGACAACATGGCTTCCTGACAGTGTGGCTTCTCGACAGCATGGCTTCTCAACAACATGGCTTCCCAACAACATGGCTTCTCAACAACATGGTTTCCCAACAACATGGCTTTCCGACAGCAAGCTTCCCGACAACATGGCTTCAGGACAAATGGCCTCTTGACAGCACGGCTTCTCAACAGCATGGCTTCTCGACAACATGGCTTCTAGACAACACAGCTTTGTGACAACATGGCTTCCCGACAACATGGCTTCAGGACAAATGGCCTCTACAGCATAGCTTCCCAACAGTATGGCTTCTCGACAACACAGCTTCTCAACAACACAGCTTCTCGACAACATGGATTCCCAACAGCACGGCTTCCCGACAACATGGCTTCTTGACAGCACGGCTTCCTGACAACATGGTTTCCCTGACAACATGGCTTCCCAACAGTATGGCTTCAGGACAAATGGCTTCTCGACAGCATGGCTTCCCAACAACATGGCTTCTCAAAACACAGCTTCCCGACAGCGTGGCTTCCCGACAGCATGGCTTGAGGACAAATAGCTTCCTGACAACATGGCTTCCCAACAACATGGCTTCTCAACAACATGGCTTCCCAATAATACAGCTTCCCAACAACATGGCTGCCTGGGCGATTTCACTGTAAATCACGGCCCAGCCTCTCTCCTAAGGAGCTCAGTGAGCAGAATTTCAATATAGAATTACTTGATATTGACCAATTCCACACTGGAAAAGTCCTCCCAAAGGAAACCATTTTGGTTTCATCATCTTTGCTACTAAGCACGTGTTCCAAGAGGGATTACACGCCGAGGCCTCTTTTCTTTTAGGCCACTCCTGATACCGGATCTGTTTAATACGTATACATAAGTAAATTCTTGTGCTTCTCTTTTTGTTTGCAGGGTAGGAAGAGAACTTTAATAAAGTGCCCTGAGCATGAAAATAGATTCTCCTAAGGGTTATACCCATAAAAAACAACCCAAGCCACTCTCTGCAAAAGTCAGCTTGAAGGCATGCTCCGCCCCTGGCCACAAGCAGGCAAGACAGGGCACAGCACCTAACCGGGTTTTGATAAAGTACATTAAAGTTATAGCCCAAGCTAATCCCACCAGCAAAGCTGAGAAGGAACATTGAAATAAAGGAACTCTGCCTGGAGCTTAATAAAGTCAACCACAGTAGCAGAATGTGGCGGTGCTTGTCTGGCATTGAATAAGGAAGAGCTCCTTGACCAATGGGAAGAGGTCTTCTAACTGCCAGACCTATTTGCCCACCATAGTCAGGATGACATCATTCCAAAGACTGCTCACCACTTTGTTCTGCTCCAGTTTACCAGGAGCAAGGAACCCCTCAGTAACTGATCCCAAATTCCAGGCTTTATGATCCTGGGAATGGTACTCTGAAAGGCCCTGGGTGGCCCTACTAGGCCCTGGATGGTCAAGAATAGCCCTGAGTGGCCCTAGGATACCCTGACTGATATTACATGGCCCTGGGTGGTCCTTGATGGTTTTGGATGGCCTTGGGCAGCCCTAGGAGGCCCTGGATGGTCATGTATGGCCCTGGGAGACCCTGGATGGTCATGCATAGTCCTGGGTGATGTTGGGTGGCTCTAGATAGCTGTTGATGAACCCAGATGATTCTGTTTGCCCTAGGTGGTCTAGAGGGGGTCATGAGTAGCTGTGGGTGGCCATAAATGGCCCTGGATGGCTCTGGGTAGCCCTAGTGGACACAGATGGTCTTGGATGGCCTTCATGGTCCTGGATGAGCCTGGGTGGCTGTGGATTGCCATGGAGGGCCTTGGTTGTCCCCCAGTGAATACTGATTACTCTAGGTGTCTCTGGATGGCTCTGGGAGACACTAGGTATTCTTGGGTGACCCTGGATGGCCTTCTATGGCCCTGTTGGCATAGGTGGCCTTGGATGTCTCTTGGTGGCTATGAAAGGGTGGCCTTTCTTGACTCTTGGTGGTGCTTTGTATCCTTGGGAGTCCCTAGATGGCCCTGGGTGGCCCTGGGTGGCCATGGCTGACTGTGGATGATTCTGATGGTTTTGCATGGCAACTGGCCCTGGAAACTCTGGGTTGGGTTGCCCCAGCTGACCCAGAGTGGCCCTAGATGACTCCAGTTGATCCTGAGTGGCTGTGAGTGGTTGTGGATAGGCATGGATGGCCCTTAGTTACCTGTACATCTGTGGGTGACCTAGTTGTGCCAAGGAGGCCCTAGATGACCCTACATGTCTCTGGGTGGATGTAGATGGCCACAGATGGCTTTGGAAAGGGGCAGCCCCTTCTGTGGTCACAGCCTGAAGTCTAGCATCTGCCCTTTCATGTCTTCCCTTGTGTGTTTAAAGACGTTGCCTGGTTTGGGGATGACAGCGAAGAGCTGGCAGAGGGTTGGAGATGCCTCCTGTAGGGAAGGTGGAGAGGGGCGCCCTGCTGACGGTGGCTCTGTGCTCTCACCTGCCCTAGGCGTGGGCTTCGCGGTCATCCTCGTCTCGCTCTACGTCGGCTTCTTCTACAACGTCATCATCGCCTGGGCGCTGCACTACTTCTTCTCCTCCTTCACCACGGAGCTGCCGTGGACCCACTGCAACAACACCTGGAACAGCCCCAACTGCTCAGACACCCGCTCCGGCAACTCCAGCTCCAGCCTCAACGACACCTTCAGGACCACGCCCGCTGCCGAGTACTTTGAGTAAGTGGGGGGTTAGTGCCTCTGGGTCAGTGACACTCCACTTGCTGTGTCTGCCTTGGGGAGGGGAGGATGCAGGGCTGGGCACATCAGCCACCCGCCCGTGCCACCCCACAAGGGTGTGGAGAGGACCAAGCCTCTTGTCCTATGCCCAAATTCTGTTCCTTCAGGTTCTTGTGGGGTGTATTTCTGAAAGACACTTCCGGTGGCTCAGCTGAGCTATTGTGGAGTGAGTCCACGGCAGGAATGGGACACTGGACAGGCCTGTGGCTGCTCCATCCTGCTCTCAGGAGCAGTTTTGGGTGGGAGAGGCTGGCCAGAGATGCCGCAGACACTGCGTGGAAGGAAGGTGCTGGGGCCCCGGCCCTGGGGGCTGCCGTGTCGCCTCCAGCGAGGGCTGGGCTCCGTGACCTCATCCACCCTCCCACTGCCCCTCCACCCTCCCCTAGCTGAGGCTGAGCTCTCTCCAGAAGCGAGGCCACTCTGAGCATCACTCAACCTCCATCCTCAGTAAGCAGACCTTGTCTCCGAGGTTCACCGACTGTCTGCTTTTCCTGAGATGCTCTTTCTTCTTACAAACACAGAGTTAATTCTTTCATGGTCCCCCCTCTGTCCCCATGTCCAGCAGCCAGGCTGGTGTCCTGCTCCTCCGTCCCCTTGCCTGGCCCTCCGCAGTCCACACTGCTTGACCCCACCACCTGCTGGTCCGTCCCTCTCCTCAAATATGTTCTCTGAATCCTTTCAGGCACTGTGTCAGCTCCTGCCCTTGCCCTCTTCTTCACCATGTGGTCCAGTTCAGCCTGGAAGGGCCGTCACTGCCCCGGGGCGGGGGGGGCACCATTTCCCCTTAGAACCCAGACACATGTGGGAGAGACACTCACTATGAGGAGCCACGCTCTGTCACAGGGCCGTCCCCTCCCCGAAGCGATTCTGAGCTGGGCTGTCACCCTGAGCTGAGTAACACACTGCAGTTACAGAGGCGTACAAATTCATAAACGTGAGCGGGGGGCCGTCCCAGGCCAGCCGGGGTTTGGTGGACCGGGGTAGTGTGCAAGGGCGTGAGTGTGTGCGGGCCCTGGAAGACCCTTCCCTGAGCCCCCCTGCCCCCTAGGCGTGGGCCCCTGGGGCTGGCTCTCCCGTCCTGAGGTGGCTTCTCTTAAAATGTGGTGTTTGTCTCGGAGATGAGCAGCAATTCCCATCGACTCCAAAATTTCACATTGACTGTGATGTTCCCACTTTGGGGCTGAAATCTTACTGTCTAGTTAGATCTATTCTATTAATGTTTGTGTGTTAAAGTAAGTCCCTTTACAACTTAGCCAAAGGAACTTTAACCAATAAAATAAAATAACTCAGGTTTTAGCAAGTAGGTACATTTGAAAAACTTGTTTTGAGTCGAAAAACAGTGAGGTTAAAACAAGATCAGGATCCGATGAGGGCAGGACCCGGGAGGGCAGGACCAGGGAGGGCAGGACGCAGGGAGGGCAGGACGCAGGGAGGGCAGGACCCGGGAGGGCAGGATGCAGGGAGGGCAGGACGCAGGGAGGGCAGGACCCGGGAGGGCAGGATGCAGGGAGGGCAGGACGCAGGGAGGGCAGGACGCAGGGAGGACAGGATGCAGGGAGGGCAGGACCCAGGAGGGCAGGATGCAGGGAGGGCAGGACCCAGGAGGGCAGGATGCAGGGAGGGCAGGACCCAGGAGGGCAGGATGCAGGGAGGGCAGGACCCAGGGGGGCAGGACCCGGGAGGGCAGGACGCAGGGAGGGCAGGACCCGTAAAGGCTTTGAGACACAGCAGGCCAAGCAGGGTGCCAGTGGTGGACTCCTCCTCCTGCTCCGGGAGTTCCGTGTCCCCGACCTCACACTGTGCAGCACACAGCACGAAGAGGCTCCTGTCACCTCGGTCGGTGGCTTGGGCTCCGTGGAGAAGAGAGGATGATGGGGACCGTGTGGATGGCACGGCGTCTGGGCCTGGCTGTGCCCCAAATGAGACGGGAGTCTGAGCTGGGCTCTCCATGCCGTCTCCACCTCCTCTACCTCAAGAGGTGGTTCTAGAGTTAAGATCTGACTTCCTGCCGTGCGGCACAGTGCCACCTGTGGCAGGTGGAAAGCTCTGGAAAGCTGGAGCCAGCTGCATCCTCCCACGTGTCAGGATTATTGCCTTGGGACCTCAGCAAATCCAGGCAGTGACGGCTCCTTTCCTGGCATGGCTTCTCCTCTTCCCGGCCCAGCCCTGGAGTCGGTGCCAGCTCAGAGCTGGCTCAGAAAGTGGCGCGGCAGGAGCATGCGGACACGATGGCGCACCTTCCCACGGGTGCTCTCAAGGATTCAACAAGACACTGGGCTGTCCCCGGCTGGCCCAAAGGGTGCTCCCCGCCTGCCGTTAGTTCCATCTCCTTTCTGCATGGCCTCATGTTCTGCCTGATGGTGGGTTCCCTCCAGGAGACGGGCTCCTGACACCCCGAGCAGACTCCTCTCAGTCTGCTCTGTGCTGATCCTCCTGGCAGCGGCAGGAGCTGTGTGAGCCGGTGTCGACAGCTGTCTCCCTCGGGGAACAGCACAGGTGTCCGCGTGTCCTGCTTGTGCAGCCTTGCCCCTGCGGAGGGCCCTGGATGGTCCCGTGGGCAGCAGTGGTGCACCATACCGCTGAGCACCTTCCCCTGGTTTCTGCAGTTCCTTTCCTTCAAAGACCCAAGGCGCCCCTTCCCTGCCCCAGCTCCAAAAAGCAGGGTGCTGAGGGTGAGGGGGTGGGGTGGGCTTCTGTGGGCTCCCAGCATGCTGCAGCTCACCTTCTCCACTCACCTGGAGGGCGGACCCTGCCTCTCAGCTGTGGGCCTGACTTCTCTGGTCCCGATGGGCCAGCTGCTTTCTGCCATGCCGAGTTGGGGAGGGCAGGTCTCTGGGCAAGCTCAGCTGTCCGGTTCCAGTTCTGGCTGGGGAGGCAGCACCCCTCCAGAACCCCCATCTCCCTCCCTCTCCAGGCGTGGCATGCTGCACCTCCACGAGAGCCGTGGCATCGATGACCTGGGCCCTCCCCGGTGGCAGCTCACATTCTGCCTGGTGCTGGTCATCATCCTGCTGTACTTCAGCTTGTGGAAGGGAGTGAAGACTTCTGGGAAGGTGAGGCTGCAGGCCTCGCCAATGGGGAGTGGACATGTGGCTGTGGTTGGAGAATGAACGGGGGGTCATGGTTGAGCTTTGGAGTGAATGGGGGGGGGCTGTGGTTAGATTGAGGAGCGGGTAGATGGCCATGGTTGGGTTCGGGAGTGGACAGGTGTCTGTGATTGGTTTGAGGAGCGGGTAGATGGCCATGGTTGGGTTCGGGAGTGTATGGGTGGCCGTGGTTGGGTTGGGGAGTGGATAGGTGGCTGTGGTTGGGTTTAAGAGTGGACTGGTGGACTATGCTTGAGGCGTGGACAGGTGGGCTGTGGTTGGGTTGGGGAGTGGGCAAGGGGGCCATGGTTGGATTAAGGAGTGGATGGGTGGCTGTGACTGGGGAGTGAACATGTGGTTCATGGTTGGGGAGTGGACAGGTGACCGTGGTTGGGGAGTGGACAGGTGGGCCATGGCTGGGAAGGGGACAGGTGGCCGTGGTTGGGGAATGGACAGGTAGGCCGTGGTTGGGTTGGGGAGTGGATGGGTGAACCACGGTTGGGGAGTAGACAGGTGCCCATGGTTGGAGAGTGGACAAGTGGGCTGTGGTTGGGTTGAGGAGTGGACAGGTGGCCGTGGTTGGGGAGTGGACAGGTGGCTGTGGTTGGGGAGTGGACAGGTGGCCGTGGTTGGGGAGTGGACAGGTAGGCCGTGGTTGGGTTGGGGAGTGGATGGGTGAGCCACGGTTGGGGAGTAGACAGGTGGGCCATGGTTGGGGAGTGGACAGGTGGCCGTGGTTGGGGAGTGGACAGGTGGGCTGTGGTTTGGGAGTGGACAGGTGGCCATGGTTGGGGAGTGGACAGGTAGGCCGTGGTTGGGTTGGGGAGTGGATGGGTGAGCCACGGTTGGGGAGTGGACAGGTGGGCCATGGTTGGGTTGGGGTGTGGATGGGTGAGCCACGGTTGGGGAGTGGACAGGGGGTTGGGGAGTGGACAGGTGGGACGAGATTTGGTTGGGAAGTCAGCACTTTGCTGTGATCGAGCAGTGGTATCAGGGGAAGCGCCCACAGCAGAGTGTTTTCAGCATGAATACAAGCACAACAAATTATTTTGTGCCAATTAAAATATTTTGGTTATTATCTACACACTGAAGCAATTTTGCCCCAATGTGCCTGACGCACCTGGTAATACCTGCAGTGATGTGCCAACACATGAGACCTTCCAGTAGTGACAGGGGCCTTTTCCCCCTCCCCCTGCAGCCCAGAGTCCATCTTCTGCCCATAAGCCAGGTGCACATTTGCACAATCAGTGCAAGTTCGCTCGCATCTCACTCATCAGAAATTCAGCCACTCCTGCCCACTGTGACAGACCAGAGGCAGAAAAGGAGTGCCCCTTCCTTGCCAAATTGTTCATGCTGTTTTAATCCCTGGGAAAGATGAGCAGGAGAGAAGGCATTTAACAGTCTCAGTCCAGCGAGCATTTGCTGAGCTGGCGTCCTCTGAATGTGGGGACATTGGGCTTCCCAAGCAGAGGCCACCTCTCTCTTAGCACAAACCATCGGGGTGACCCTGGGCCCACTCCCTGCCAGGAGGTGGCTGGTGCAGCCCCGTGACTTTGTCCTCTCCCCAGGTGGTGTGGATCACAGCCACCATGCCGTACGTGGTCCTCTTCGCCCTGCTCCTACGAGGAATCACTCTTCCTGGAGCCATGGACGGCATCCGAGCTTACCTGAGCGTTGACTTCCATCGGCTCTGCGAGGCATCCGTGAGTATGCCCTCCGCTCGCGGCCCTGCAGCACACGCAGGCTGGCAGGCTGCGTCCTGTGGGGCTCCTGTGTTCTGCGGCAGGAAACCCCAAAGACAGCAGCTCAGCCAGAGCTCCTTGCTGGCCCTGTAAATCCAGCAGGTGGAGGCTGCTCTGCCGTGCACCGGGCTTTGCAGGACGACCTGCACACCTGACCCCCAGCAGAGGTCACCATCTGGCTGAGAAGGGGGACATGTGGGCACAGCAAGCAGCTGCAAGGACCCGAATAAGGAGGTTAGGGGAGCAGGTCGCCTGCTCAGTCTCCTCAGAAATAGAGCAGAAGGCTGCGGCTGATCGGCCTCCTCCCCCGGGCCGTCCCGCTTCTTGGAGGAACGCTCTCGGTTCCTCGGATGAGCACCGACGGGGCAGCCCATCTGTGCTGGAGAGTGTTGGCGCTCACCTGGAACCAGGCCTGAGCCCTGGCACCGTGTTCATCATCTGAGCAAGGCTGAGACATGTCAGTGTGGCCTGAACCTGGGCCTCCTCCTGCGGAAGACACACCTCGACGGGGAGACACTGCTGGGCACTCGCAGCACGAGACGGCTATCGACATCGTGCCGTGTCAAAGACTGAGTCGAGAGTCGGGCTGCAGATTTCTCCAGCACAGGAAGAAGTCATTCTGCGTTAAAATACGTAGAGACAGCCGCCTGAAGGGAGGGGTCTTGGCCAGGCGACGGGACAGGGAGGGAGACAGAGGGGCTGCAGCGTTGCTGGGAAATGAGGCCCAGAAGGGGAAGTGGCCGTTGGCAGGTGGCCAGCTCCTCCAGGGTGATCCCTCCACGGGAGGTTCAGCTGCTCCCTCTCACCCTGCACCCGAGGCTGTGCAGGGGCAAGGTGGGTGCCCTGTCACCCAGTGGTCTCCACATCGCCCTGACTCCAGCAGGTTGTGTTTCGCTTTTAAAATGCTGTACTATCTTGGTCCAGTTCTTGTCCACACGCCCTCACCTTTCCCACGTGTAAGCTACTCTTGGTATGTCACCTGTGCTCTGTCAAGCGTGCACGCACCAGTGACTGAGCCACGGTTGAGCTTCACGGGCCTTTGCACGAGAGCTGCTGTGTGCTCACCGTGTGCTCATGTGTTTGTAATCGCCATGGGAAAGACATACAGTGGATATTAGTGAGCACGTGTCTAATCGAGGTATCAGCATCACTTAGCCTTTCAATAAATGAGTGCTGTCACAAAGGTGCGGACCTGACTCGCTCTCATCATGTGGAGCACAGTCCTGCTGGCCCATGGGAAATCTAAACTAATGCACAGATGCACGCCGCCCTCTCTGGGCTCTTCCAGGCCCACGACACAGGAGGGTTATCCCTAGAGGGGGCGTTTGCCGCTGATCACGTTGTCAGTGCCATTTGTTTGTTGATGATGATGTTGGGTTCAAATTCGACTCTGTTCCCTGGAGCCCATGGAGGCTCAGCTGCAGATGCCATTGAGAGAGCTCGAGGGAGGACAGGAAGCTGCAGTGGCCATTTGCACAGTTGCCTTGTGACAGCTCAGCTCTCGGGCCGCCCTCGTCTCGGACCCGGCTCAGTCTCTCTCTCCCGGCTCTGCGCAGGTGTGGATCGACGCTGCCATCCAGATATGCTTCTCACTGGGCATTGGGTTTGGTGTGCTCATCGCCTTCTCCAGTTACAATAAATTCACCAACAACTGCTATAGGTAAGTCCTGAGCCCCCGATGCTGCTGGGTCTGCAAAATCAGGTGGGGGCATCACCAAGGCGGGGTGCAGCATTGACTCCTGGAAGTCACCTGTCGCTGGATGAAAGGAGAGGAAATAAGCTGTGCTGGCAAAACCTCCCAGCCAGAATGGCTTCCTGAATAGAAATTAAAATGAGGACGCTGCAGGCAGAATGCTGATTCTTGCTTTAGGGACGGCACTGAAACACGGAAGATGTTTGTCGCCTCCCTGGGAGGAAGACTCCAGGATTGACAGTGCAGCCAGATTCCCCCTAAGGGCCCCCCTCGCCCCCCTCCTTCATCCCCACTGGGCCCCAGCAGCCTCCTCCTCCCAGTGCTCTGGGTCAGGCTGGGCCCCCAGACTTACCCCACCAGGAAATGCCTGCGTGTGTTCCCTCCCGGCCCGCATGGGACCCTGGGCCCTGGAGGGTCTCCCAGACCTTATGCAGAGGTGTCCAGGTGACCCAGCATGAGGACAGGCAGGAAAGTGGCCCACAGCCCTCATGGTGTCTCAGCCACTGCCACCTGGCCCAGGATGACCTGAGCGGCCTGCAGCCACATGCTGTCCCGAAATCCTTGTAAAAACAGAAAGAGAATTTCTTCAGGGACCTGCTTCCTTTGACCTTCATGAGCTTGTATTTATTCTCTTTCACATCATGAGGATAAAAATGGGGTAAAAATACAAAGACAGTGTTGGCAGCAAAACGGCCTGACAGACAGTGGGACACACAGGGAGGTATCAAACGAGGGAGGACTCTGGATGGCAGGTCCTGAGATAGCCTCTACCCCCTCCCGGACCCGCCTGCTCCGGGCACTCAGGACAAAGCGCACGTCCTTCTGCTGGGGTGCCCAGGTGGCCTGACCCCACGTCCTCCCCACTCTGCTCTGGCCTTAGAGTAGGTCTGTGCCCCGGGAGCACACAGGGCACGCAGCACATGGGGCCCACAGACCCACCTGAAAGAACCTGCATTTTAACAAGGTCCCCAGGAGGCATCGGTCTGCCTGCAGCCCCCGCCGGGCATGGGTGGGGACTACCTGGTTGTCTGTTCTGCACCCCCAAACCCTGCCATTGCCCGTTGGGACCATCTGGCCTTCGGCACTGCATCGAGAGTCCCAGGAGCCTCTTGGTCCCCAGGCAAACTAGGCAGCTGGTCACTGTGTGGTCTCTGAGGGCCAAAGGCTGGACACGCCCAGAGCCTGGAGCCCCTCAGCCAGGAGGGCCCAGGTGGGAGGTCCTGTCCTTGTGAGGGCACCAGTCTGAGGACAGCTGTGTGTGGCTGCAGAAGGGGCTGGTGTGCTTGTCTGGGAAAGTGCCCTCCCAAAGCCCACTGGCCCCCAGACACAACAAATGAAGGGTAATGACTGGAAATCGCAGCTGCTCCAGCATGGGTGCTAGGCGGTGTCTTATCCCTGCAGGGACGCCATCATCACCACCTCGGTCAACTCCCTGACCAGCTTCTCCTCTGGCTTCGTGGTCTTCTCCTTCCTGGGGTACATGGCCCAGAAGCACAGCGTGCCCATCGGGGACGTGGCCAAGGATGGTGAGTCCCCTCAGGGCAGGCCCGGGGCCCCCACATCTCTGCCTGCACCTGTGGCTCTGGCTGCCCAGTTCTCTAAGTATTTTCCCTGCAAGATGGGAGGGATGGACGTGCATAAGGCCTTGAGTACGGTTCGTGAGAGGCGCTGACTTGAGCAATTGCACAGGTTCAAGCACTGAGAACCAGCCAAAGAACGAAGTAATTGGGAGCAGCCACACGCCTGCCACACCTCCCGCAGCCTCCCTGCTCCTCCCCTGTTGGGCCCTCCATGCTGGGACCACGTGGCCAGTGGCACCTTGCCCCTTGGCCAAGTGCTCCTTGCAGTGGCCCCTCAGGCTGCAGGTCGAGGATCTGGTTCCCGGTCTCTGGGTAGACACTGTCACTCACTGTGAGCAGTTAATTTGTTCCAAACCTTTTCCCTCCAAAGACCCATTGACGACGACACATTTAGATGGGATCTGGATAATAGCCAGAGAAATCCCTAAAGGCCGAGACCTGGTGGTCCGTGTTCCCAACCTGCTCCCCAGCCAGCCTGCAGACACCAGTGTCTGTGCGCCGGGCAGTGAGCGTGTAGGAGTGGGGCTGGTGGAGGCTGTGGGTTCAGGTGACACAGGGCACAGGCCTTGGCCCTGCAGGACGTGTGCCAGGCAGGAGAGAGCCAGGAGGGCAGGCACTGAGGGGATGCTGCAGCCCCCTGGGCATGTGGGGGGTTGCTTGGTTCTAGTACGTGAGTGGAAAGTCGTGACGTAGGCAGCCTCAAACTGGGCCAGTCCAGAGCTCCAGGGCTCCCCAGATCACTGCAACCCCTTGCCTGCCTTCAGGGTCTTTCTGGGCTGAGCGATGCAGGGTCATCCCCTGGAGACTGTCCCCGGCTCCAGGGCAGCTCCTGGCCGAGAGTGTGACTTGAAGGCCTCACCTCCTCCGGGAAGTCCCCTGCTCTCCTGGACACTGCTCCTGAGACTCAGAAAGGCCCCTGTGGTATCACTGACTCATCTCCTCCTGGGTCTTTCTACTCTTGAGTTGGGGGTCTTGCAGGGAGGGCGTCGAGGGAGCAGAGGGCCAGCCCCGCCAGTGCCCTGAGCTCTCCCGGGTCCTCCCTCAGCATCCATCGGGATTCTTGGGGAGTCGAGCGTTAGGACCTCCCTCTGCCTTGGAAGTAGGAAACAGAGGTTCAGGGATTGCAATGGGAGGGCGGAGGCTGGCATGAGATCTCCGTCCATATTCTTTGCTCCAGGAAAAAAAAAATCCAGTAAAGGTGGGAGAAAGGGAGCATAATGCAAATACATACGCAGCAGTGAAATTTGCTCACGGTGCATTGATGCATGTTCCCCATTCCTTTTGCCCTTTATTATGATAAATAGCCATCGCTTACAAAAACCTTCATTAACCCCTGAAAGTAAAGCTGTGCGTCTTCTATGCGTTTCCACGACAAGCAAAGTAAATGTCACTTATAGCTCTAATTCTCAGGAAAACAGGGTGAAATGTTAACTGAGGCACAGAAATGAAAGGCAGGGGTGTTGACATTACCTTCTCCTGAGCTGACGAGGTCTTCCCGGGTTCGTGCTCACGGCGTTTAGACTTCAGAGCATCTCAGACAAGCTGCCCCAGCTCCTCCATTGGAAACCATGCCCCTTCCATCGGTGCATCAGGAACTGCAGGGAGCCGGGGCCTGAGAACAGAGCCCGTAAGGGACTTTGGGAGGTGGACCCTGCCTCTGGCCTTTGTTCGATTCTCTACAAAGATCAGTGAGTGCCCATCCCTATGGGCTGGCCCAACATAGGCCCTGCTGAGGCCCAGGAAAAGCAGAAAAGTTGTAAGTTACGTCTCTGTAAGCAGATACTCCAAGAATGTGCCAGTGAGCTAAGTAAGCACGTCTTTTAAAATTGAGTGTGAAAATGGTCAATTACCCATTTCCTGTGGGAATCTTTTCTACTTTGGCGTCATTCGAGGCCAAAGTGCGTAAAGTCTTGGTTGAGTCCTTCCCGGCTCCCCTCCAAGCCTACGGCCTTCCCCTCCTCCATCTGGGAGCCGGCCTGTCCTCCACCCAGCAATGGCACTCCCAGGACAGTTTCAAAGGGGATGAGCAGAGGAGGGCTCGTGTGGGAGCAGAGACACTCCCCTTTCCGGCAACGCATGGGGGGAGCATTCGCCAAATCGCAGTATCTCTGTACTCATTAGGTGGTTTTAAAAGGTCATACTTAGAGAAATTCATCGACACAGAAGACAATTTGTAGCAAGTGCAGAGTGAACCACAGTGAGTGTGAGTGTGAGCACATGCATGTGTGTGTCTGTGACACGCCCAGGAAAAACAAACTCGGAGGTGCCACCAAGTGTTGTCAGGGACGCAGGGCAGGACCCGGGAAGCCCTCTCGCCCTCCTCTGGGCTCCCTCCCCTGTGCTGGTTCTGCTCTCCCTTTTCCTCTCCCGGAGCCCCATGGCCGGGTGGACACAAGTGATTTGAAGGAACAAGGCCACGCGCAGGCGGTGGGGGCCGAACAGAGGCCTCCGACTCTTGTGGGCTTCCATTCTCTAGAGTCCTGGGCCAGGTGTCCACTGAAGTCACATGGGGGAGGGCTTTCCAGGCAGAATGATGGAAGGAAGGTGATGGAAGCGTGTGTGGTCTCATCCCCAGAGGCTCTTGAAGGGGCTGAGGAACAGAGGCCTCTGCAGGTGGGTGGGAGTGAGGGCGATGACGTGGGGACAACCACAGGGTCTGCTTTCAGGGCCCGGGCTGATCTTCATCATCTACCCCGAGGCCCTCGCCACGCTCCCGCTGTCCTCGGCCTGGGCCGTGGTTTTCTTCGTCATGCTGCTCACCCTGGGGATCGACAGTGCCGTGAGTCACCTCAGCGCTTTGCGTGCTCCTGGGACCCCACGGGCTCATTCTTGGCCCTTACAGGGCCAGGCAAGCCCCTGGGGCTCCCCAGGGTCCCCCAAAGTCCCTCTTACTCACACAGAGCCCCCGCAGGGGTGGGAGGGAGGCATCCCATGATCACTTGAGAGCCTTCCTAGGATGGGGTGTTTGGACCAACGTACCTCTCTTCTTTCACTCTGGGTTCCAGCTGTGCCCTCTGCCTGAGCCCTCCGGGGTCCTAGACACACACGCAGCAGGGCCGGCAATGAGAGGGCAGTGCAGGAAAAGTGGGTGATGGGACCACACAGGGTCACAGCAGGCCATTCCTGCCTCGTCACTTTCTGTGACCCCATAGTCCCCAGGAGGAATGGATGTGCTTGAAGGGTAGGGCAGCAGAAGGCCCAAGCCATGCCCAGGCCTGCCCACTGAGCATCTCACGTGTGGCTCTGCGTGTGCATGTGCATGTGCACGAAGGAGGTAGAGCGTAGGCCCACGTCTGGCTCTGGTCCTGCTGGACTTCCTCCAGCTCCTCCTTCCCCATTGCCTGCTTAGGACCAACAGTCAAGGTCTCATGACAGGCCATGGGTGTCTTGTTCACCTGAGCTTCCCGGAGGGTGCAGAGCCCGCAAGTCCCTCCCCATGTGAGCATTCGTCATGCAGTATAGCCCTCCACCTCCATCCCAACCAGCCTGGTCACCAGCCCACTGGGCGGACCACAGCACTTGGACCACAGGGCTGTCGGGGATGAATCCCATGAACACCACTTCCTGGGGGAGGTTTTTGTGACAGAGCAGGGCAAACAGGGTCCTCGAGCTGGCTGGCTGCCTTGGCAACCCCCATCCTGACAACACTCGGAGTCAGGAATGCTTCCTCACCGGGGACACAGCCAGTGCCCAGGCCAGGTCCTCCCTGGGAACAAAATGAAGCAGTGCTTGTGGAAGGGATGTTTCCTTGGACAAGTCCAGCAGAGCTGAGCCTTCACGGTGATGCAGTGGAGAGAGTTATGTCGCCACGCAGCACTTCACCCACCCGGGGGCTACAGAGGGGCTGTGAAAGTCCCCACCAGTGGAGAGAGCATCCACCTCTGGGTCCTCCCTCCCCAATGGCCATGTCATGAGAGAAGCCCTCGCCAGAGCTGTCTTGTCTTTAGGGCATTCTGCACCTGGCACCGTGCAGCTCCCTACTCTGTGTCCATCTCCCGGGTGTACGTCTGTTGAATTACGAGTAAATCGTGCCCAGGTATGGTGCAGCATGCCCCGCCCCACAGCGCATCCTGTGGTCTGTGTTGGCTGCAGATGGGCGGGATGGAGTCAGTGATCACCGGGCTCATCGATGAATTCCAGCTGCTGCACAGACACCGGGAGCTCTTCACCCTCTTCATCGTCCTGGCAACTTTCCTCCTCTCTCTATTCTGTGTCACCAATGTACGTACCTCACTCAGCTTCTCCTGATGCTGTCTCAGCATTCAGTGCTAGGCACCTGGTTGGTGCTGCCGGGCCACACAGAACTGCAGCGTTCCTAAGAGCTGCACCCCTCCCCCAAAAAGACACACCCTGACTTGTGATCATACGTGGGTAGCCATGCTCACACTCGGGGTAGCTGTGGTTGCACGGGGTAGCCGTGGTGCGTCTAGAACTGAGTCTGGAGTTACTTCAGCACCTGGACAGCTCCCTCGGCTGAGCTGCCTGCCTGTCGGATTTGTGGGGCTAAAGAGCAAGGCGGGGGATGCTGTCCATGGGGTGCAGGGGCCGCGGTCACACCCCTCCCCCTGAGGCTCTGCCAGGTTTTGCATTTGGTAGTTGCGCTGGGAGTCCTAGGAAAGGAGAGGAGAGGTCGTTGTTATTTTTGCATAATAGACATGTCCCTAAGAAGCTGCACGTGGATTGAATTTTAGTGTCTCAAATCAGACTGTATAGGGAGTCAAATAGCAAATGTCTGTAAACTGAATCTGCAGGCCAGGTTTATATCTTGCAAAAAGTACTTTCATGGGCAAGGTGTGCTGCACTGGGGCACCCCGAGTCCAACAGGTGTTCCCCTCTCTTCCAGGGCGGCATCTACGTCTTCACGCTGCTGGACCACTTTGCGGCTGGCACGTCCATCCTCTTTGGAGTGCTCATCGAGGCCATTGGAGTGGCCTGGTTCTATGGTAAGGGTGAAGCCTTGCTCTAGGGCTGGTGTGCTTCAGCTGGTGGAAGACCCAACCACTGTGCCATTTTTATGACCAGCCGGGCTGGCACCCTCTTGCTTTGTTGCGGTGCTGCTTCCTTGAAAAGAGGTGCGTGTTAGCTTCAGGAAGCTTCCATTGTGGTTACCACGGCATCCTCGAGGATGGAAGGCTCAGCAACTGCCTGTTCAACTGGATCAATGAAGACACCTGGCTGGCACCCCAAATCCTTGCTGTGGTCAGAGGTAGACAATGTAGCCACATAATGGTGCTGTGCAGACATCTTAATTGGTTCTTGAGAAAGCATGGTTCCTTGGATCTGGAGACTCTGACTGCTGGTGGATGTGAGGTCTCCGTGTTCAGCTAACCAGGAGTTGACTAGCATTAACTCGGCTGGCCCCAATCTACAGCCATGGCCCCCTGCCCTCCTGGGGCACTTATCCTGTTTCCTGGGGTATCCGAGTGTAGTTTTAACAGCAAAATGGGGCCATTGTGCTGGCTCACCTCACCTGGCTGGGTTTCCTTGAGGGATTTATAAACGTGTGTGATCCAGCCCAAAGCTAAAGGTCTGTGGTGGTGTGCCAACCCCAGTTTCATAGGGCCCCTACTGTCGTACAAGGAGGTCCACGTTCTGCACCTCAGAGCCATGGAAATTATAACTTTAAAAAATGCTCTGGCTTCAAGAGGCTTAACCTGACAAATAGTTCATAGTTCAAGAACGTTTTTGAAATTATATTTTCTTTACTACAGAGAAGGGAGATATCAAACTCTTTGTGCCTTCCATGGCACCTGGAGCCAATATTTTTCTGTCACTTTAAATTGTCATCTCTCCTCCTACCCCAAAAATAAAGCCTCAGAGGGAGAGAGAAAGCATGTCAACCGTATCCCCTGGCCGCAGTCTCTGCGCGTGGAGGCTGGAGAGAAGCCGGCCCTACAGCATCCACACGCTCCCCGAAGCCTCAGAAGACGGAGATCCAAGTTACTTCTCCAAACAGCAATTCACACCCCCCCTAATCTAAATGAAACAAAATCTGTGTTTCCAGTAAGATGGTATCAGGATACACCAGCCTTTCAGTGCACCGAGCTCCGGGTGGGTCTTAGAGCCCGTGACCCAGCTCAGGAGGAGCTGTGGGCTGCCCTGGGCCTGCTCACGGGGCCAAGTCCAGAGGGGACAAGGGGCCCTGGGGGATGCTCCCCTCTTTGCTAGCCTTTGGGTTCACCCTCCTCCATTCCAGTTTACCAGCTGCATCCATCTCCGTGTCCAGGGCTCTGATGGTGGCGTTGGAGTGTGAGGAGGGAATTCTCAATGGAGGCATCTTTCTAATGTGTCCCCACATGTCTACGAGACTTACCCACAGCTCAGCAGACCAGCTGCCATCGTATGACCAGAGGCCAGGCCAGATTCAGGGCGGGAGAAATCGCCCCTAAGATCTCCTGGAGAAAATATCAGTTCCTTAAGCTTCTGGAAATAGCTTTCCTTAAAAAGTAATGATTGTATACATAGAATGGAATATGTCAGCCTTAAAAAGGAAGGAAACTCTGACGCCTGCCGCAACGTGGATGAACACTGGGGACATTATTCTAAGTGATCTAAGCCAGTCACAAAAGGATGAATCCCATGTTTCCACTTATACGGAAGTCCCTGAAAGAGTCAGATTCATAGACAGAAAGCAGAATGGAGCGGGGGGCCAGGAGCTGTGAGAGGGGATGGGAGTTAATTTTAATGGAGATGCAGTTCCAACTTGGGAAGATGGAAAAGTTCTGGAGACGGATGGTGGAATGGTTGGTTGCACAACAGTGTGAATGTACTTACTGCCGCTGAACTGTACACATAAAACTGGTTAAGATGGTAAATTTTGTGTTATATATATTTTACCACAATTTCTTTAAGTAAAAAAATAATGCTTACAGGCAGGAGGCAGGGACAGCCGTGGGACACCTGGGCGGGAGGAGGGCAGAGGGCGGGCAGGAGAGTCACCAGGCCCCCGGGGCCTCCCTTGGTGATCATCAGGGTTGAGGAGCAAACGTCACCCAGTGTCACCCCAGGCTATGTGCCTGGGGACCCGTGGTCAGCAGGACCACTGGGCGGTCTGGAGTGGGGCTGGCCACCCCTGCAGGAGGCTGGGTGCCTGCGTGCAGCCTGAGCACGAGGTCTGCTGGGGCAGGGCTGGGGACCAGCGTGACCCTGGCTGGTGCCAAGTCAGGAGTGTGCTGTCCTGACCGCCGGCTCCTGCTTCCCCCTCAGGTGTGCGGCAGTTCAGCGACGACATCAAGCAGATGACCGGAAAGCGGCCCAGCCTCTACTGGCGGCTGTGCTGGAAGTTCGTCAGCCCCTGCTTCCTCCTGGTAAGGGGCCCCTGAGTGGGCAGGTCCCTCCTGGGCCCCACCTCTCACGCCTGCCCCAACATCCAGCAGTGGGTTTTCACTTGAGTGAAGTGAATGCACTTGAGGCTGTGGGACAGAGTTCTGCGCTGCCTGGAGACCAGGGAATAGAGTTGGTGGGTCACAGGCTGGCCCTAAAGTCCTCTCTGGTCTCCTGAGGGGCCTCCCCATGAGACCCACTGAATAACCTCACCTGGGGTCCAGGGAGACCTCCCGCCCCATCAAGGCCCATGTGCGTCCCTCATCAGCCGCATCTCTGCCTTGAAGGGGTGGCTGGAGATGAGTGAGGTTGTCAATGGACTTCTGCCCTAAGGACCAAAACACAGTTTAGACCTTTAGGGTTGACAAGTACTCAAATCCAGGGAACAAGAGTGACTTAGGTTCTGTCCCAGCACTGCCCTCAGCACCCTCCCGAGGCACGGCACCACCCACACAGCCAGTAGCTGCTGGCTTTTATTGTCTGGATCAGGGGTCTACTCTCTCTGGTGCTGGGGTCCCGCCCCGGCGGAGTCCAGGTTCCTGAGGGATGGACGGCGTCGGCGCAATGAGGGGAAAATAAAGGGGACGTGAGACTTAGGTTGGTGTTAGCAAGTCTGACTTTACTGTGCACAAGTGTCGTTTATATATTTTTCAGGATTAGTACAGAAATGGTTCTACAAATATTCTCAGAGAGATAAGGAAGTAAAAAAACAAGCACAAGAATATTTATTAGCATTCCATTCTATAGAGCATAAGGTTAATGATCGTCTTTTCCTCAACTAACTAGTGTTTGTTGTCTCTAAGCAAAAAGAGATAGGTACCTAGACACCTGTTGTAATTCATGGTAAAGTTAAATCAAAGAGAGAAGGTCCAGGCCTCCGGACAGGACAGCAGTCCGTCTGTTTACATCCTGGGGGAGCCTCCCTGCCTCCCTCAATCATTTACGCCATTAGTGTAGATGGTTAATGGGAACAAAAGGCGACTCCAGGGTGTCTTATCCCCAGGGCTATCGGCATTCTCAGCGGGCAGTTAAACATCTTTACATTTTCACGCCTTTTAGGGGGTGAAAGCATTCCTTTGTCTTTTAGATTGTGGAGCTAACAGTCCCTTAAGCACACTGCTGGAGAAAGTATCATTTTGTTAGTAAAGTAAAGGGCTGAAAAGCCAAGCTAAACTATATATCTTCAAGAATAAAAAACAAAAATAAGTATAGACATAACCTTGATAGAAAGCATGCATATAATTCAGAAAATATCAGGGGTGTCGGCAGGCCATTCTTCACCAAGGGGCATCCCTGCACCCCTCGGCCCTTCTACTCATCAATTGTTTATTATTTATTGCTTTTAGGAGAAAACCTCTATAACATTTTAACAGAAAGCAGAAGGTCAAGAATAATATATAGATACTTCTTGATCATCCAATTAACCAGCAAACTTAGAAGGACGATGCATATGTATATATTTAGACAAAGAACTGGAGGGAGAAGGAAACATTAACCAGATGGAGGCCATAAACCTAATTCGACATCTTATCTGGGCAGGATTCCTTTCTGCTTGTCTCAAATGGGACTGTGTGCTCCTCCATTAATTAACTGAAAAATATCTTGAAAGTTACCTGCAGGTGGTCACATTCTCTTACTATATCTAATTTTCCTGGGAGGTAATGCCTCCCAAGCAGCCACCCAAAGGAGTGAAAACTGGAGGTTAAGAAAGGAAAAGGAATGAAGGGCAATTAGAAGCAGCACAGGTTTCAGAACTATGTGAGGGGCCGGCCGGTTGTTCTTCACCAAGGGGCGACCCTGCACCCCTCGGCGTTAATCGGCTGGACCCTGTCAAACAGCCGATCAAATGATGTAGCCACGGCTCCCGGCACTCTGGCCCATGGGCCAAGTCTACCAGCACCTGTTCTATTAGAACACAGTCCTGCCGATTCATTTACGGACTGTCCGCGGCCGTCTCCACACAACAGCAGAGACCCAATGGCTCATGCCCGGTCTGCACAGGTGACCCCAGACAGCCATTCCCAGGATGTCCAGGTCTGTGCAGAGAGACTCTTGAGCCACACACAGGGCCAAGCACCTCCCTGACACCTGGCCCTCCGCCCACCCCAGTCAGCCCAGTGGTCAGCCAGCTGTGACCGGATGGGGCAGGCGGCTCAGGCAGACCCCTTCCTGGGCCAACCCAAGAGCTAGTGAGAGAGAGAGACAGAGAGGAGCCGGAGGCGGCTCCAGACATCAGCAGGGTTTCTCGCTGAGCTGTGCCCCAAAGCTCAGAAGCCACTACTTCCTCCCCGCCTGGCAGCCGAGGCCTGTCTCTGACGTGTCTTCTCGCTGCACGGAGCCTGGAGGATGTCAGGTGTGTGACTCCAGACAAGCCAGGTGTCCTGGGCTCCGTTCACTACACGCTCAGGGCTCCTGGATGTGACAATGTGTAAGGTTTTCAAAGGACAGTGGAGAGAATTCCTGCCAATCAAACATTAAGAACTGAAAAGATGGGCCCCCCCACTGCACCATCCTGTGACAGCCCCCAGGGTCTGCAGAGCAGCTGCTCGCTGCCCGGCTTTGCCTCATCCACAGGGCCGGGCTCCCTGAGCAGGCGTGGCTGGGAGGCCCTCCACCACAAAATGCTTGCTCCATCCCCCACTTCTGCCAGCCGAGAGCCACCACCTGATCTCTGTCCTTCTGTTCTAGTTTGTGGTCGTGGTCAGCATAGTGACATTCAGGCCCCCACACTACGGAGCCTATGTCTTCCCTGAGTGGGCCAACGTGCTGGGCTGGGCGATCGCTGTGTCCTCCATGTCCATGGTGCCCATCTACGCAGCCTACAAGTTCTGCAGCCTGCCTGGGTCCTGGAGGGAGGTGCGTACTCAGACAGGGCTGCTCACCCTGCCCTCTTGCCCGGTCATGAGGCCACCAGGTCAGGTGGTGTCCATGTCCCCGGTCTGCTCCCACCTGTTCATCTCTGACCAGCAGGAAGGGGTTGGAGGGGCAGTGATGCCAGTGGAGAGACGAGAGGCTGACCGGCCATGGGCTGGTGCGGGTGGAAGGGGGGCTGTGCCTGTGTGCGTGTCTGTGTGTGTGCCTATGCGTGGTCACCTGTGTATACAGGTGTGTCTACGTGTATGTGCCTGTGTCCTTGTCTGTGTCTGCGTGCATGTCTATTTGTGTGTCTATGCATGTGCACCTATGTGTACATGTGTCTCTGTGTGTCCTTAGCTGTGTCTGTGTCTGTGTGCATGTCTGTGTATGTGTCTATGCATGTGCGCCTGTGTGTATGGGTGCATATGTTCTTGTCTGTGTCTGTGTGTGTGTCTATGTCTGTCTGTCTATGTGTGTCTGTGCACATACGCCTGTGTGTACATGTGTGTCTATGTATGTGTCTATGCATGTGCGCCTGTGTGTATGGGTGCATATGTTCTTGTCTGTGTCTATGTATGTCTGTCTATGTGTGTCTGTGCACATAGGCCTGTGTGTACATGTGTGTCTATGTGCATGCATGTGCGCCTGTGTGTATGGGTGCATATGTTCTTGTCTGTGTCTGTGTGTGTGTCTGTGTATGTCTGTCTATGTGTGTCTGTGCACATAGGCCTGTGTGTACATGTGTGTCTATGTATGTGTCTATGCATGTGCGCCTGTGTGTATGGGTGCATATGTTCTTGTCTGTGTCTGTGTGTGTGTCTATGTCGGTCTGTCTATGTGTGTCTGTGCACATAGGCCTGTGTGTACATGTGTGTCTATGTGCATGCATGTGTGCCTGTGTGTGTGGGTGCATATGTTCTTGTCTGTGTCTGTGTGTGTGTCTGTGTGTCTGTCTATGTGTGTCTGTGCACACACGCCTGTGTGTACATGTGTGTCTATGTGCATGCATGTGCGCCTGTGTGTGTGGGTGCATATGTTCTTGTCTGTGTCTGTGTGTGTGTCTGTGTGTCTGTCTATGTGTGTCTGTGCACACACGCCTGTGTGTACATGTGTGTCTATGTGCATGCATGTGTCCATGCCTCTTTGTGTCCTCACATGTGCAGGTGTGCATGTGTACCTACCTGTGTGTGTGCCTGTGTGTGTGTCTATGTGTGTCTGTGTACACACGCCTGTGTGTACATGTGTGTCTATGTGCATGCATGTGTCCATGCCTCTTTGTGTCCTCACATGTGCAGCTGTGCATGTGTACCTACCTGTGTCTGTGCCCATGTATGTGCCATGTGTGTGCACACGTGCTCTATAATGTCGAGTGAAGGTGGGAAGGGCAGTGTTCTGAGGGTGGAGGTAGAATCAGGGGTGAGCCCTGCCCTCTCCTGGGGCCGAGTCCACCTGTGGCTGAGCAGGGCAGCAGGAGCCACCAGGCAGGAGCCTCCTGTGGGTTGAGGGGTTGCCCCAGGGCCTCGGAGTCGGGCAGCTTCTGTCACCTGTGAAGGAGGGGGCGGGAACCAGTCACAGGGGTCCCATTACCTCACATCCTGGTGCTGGGATTCCTGGAAGAGACAAAGGACAGGGTCCACTTTGGAAGGAACACCCCACAAGCTTGCTCAGAGCTGCTGTCGGGAGTTCTCAGAGGCTTCTCTGTGCCCGTGTTCAGCCATCCTTCTTGGGAGCACGGACAGTGAAGCCCTGTTGCTGCACCTCTGCTGGCCCAGGGATTCCTCCTGGGGCCACACAGCATCCTTTGGGCTTGGAGGCCAAGGCAGGTGCCCCTCACAGGGCTGGCACTCAGCCCATCCCTCAGAAGTTAGGCGAGGCCTGGAGCAGATAGGCACAGCATGTGGCCAGGGTCACCGGGCCCTCTGACAGCCTAGGCCTCTTGTGAGGAGAGGGAGATAGCCCTGGGGCCCCATGGCCCCAGCAAAGCCAGATGGCACCATGCAGTGAAGACCTGTCCCACGACCCCCCTCACTGACCAGCAGAGCCCAGCCTGGGGAACAGCGGGTGTCTGGGCCATCCCTGTGGGGACCCCTCTGTGCCACCCTCTGTGGAGCCTATGTCTGTCCCTGACGTCCCACCGGGCAAACTCTGAACACAACCCACACACAATCTCAGTAGCTGAGACAGGTGGGGCTGCGGTGACCTGTGGGAGGGTCCCCTGGAGCCATGACACCTGGAGGGAAAATGTGGCCCCAGAAAGTCAGACACTGTGAGCTGCTGAGCCGCTGCCCAGGGGACCCCTGAGGAGCACTGCTCTGCTCTTTGTCTAGGCAGGGGGCATCAGCTGCACAGAAGGAAGGCCAGCTTCCCAAGGCTGAATGTAACCAAATCAAGCACCTCCCTCTCTCCAGTGACCTTCAGGTGCCGTAAGGCCCTGTCCTGGCCCGGGGGGAGAGTGCATGCCATTCACCTTCACCCTGAGCCCACCATGAGCTCGATGTAGACACAAAACCTTCACCACGCTGCTCATTTCCAGCCAGATGGACTCTGCTCCCAAGTTCAAGGGGACTGGGGGCTGTCAGCTTCCGTGTCCAACTCCGTGTCGACCACCTTGCTGAGCATGTGCCAGCGCCCACACTCTCTCCTTTCTTCTAGAAACTGGCCTATGCCATCACGCCTGAGAAGGAGCGCGAGCTGGTGGAGAGAGGGGAGGTGCGCCAGTTCACGGTGAGTGATGGTCTCCCCACTGACCCGGGGCAGAATTCAGAAGGATGGGAGGGCAACCCTTATGCCTGCACCACAGCCCCCAGACAGCCATGAGGCTGCATTCCCTCATTCAGGAAGCACTCTGTGAGCATGCACGCCTGCTGGCTGGTCCGGGTGCTGCAGGGCCCCCCTGAGGATCCTGCATGAGGAGGGGCAGGCAGCGGGCGAAATGTGTCAGGTGGAGAGGAGCACCAGAGAAAGAGAAAGCAGAGAGGGGAGGCGTGACCAGGGATGGACCCCCGGAGGAGATGGCATCTGAGCAGACACTGTGCGAAGGGAGGGGACTGCCGTCCAGGCCAAGAGAGGCGCTTCAGCACCTGGACAGCTCCCGGCCTCCAGCGAGGCGCTTCAGCACCTGGACAGCTCTCTGGACCTTGGCTGAGCCGCCTGCCTGTCTGATGGCCTTTGACAGGGTCACAAAGGCTGCTGGGAAGGTCGGAAGGGGTCGCAGAGGGCCTGGGGATGTCAGGGGAGGCCCAGGTAGGAGAGGGTGGGGCTCGCACCAGGGCTGTAGCAGGATTGATTCTTTCCCTTCGCTCTACATCTGGGAGCCATCGGAGCTTGTGTGCTTCACCTGTGTGCTTCGTGTGTTTTTCCCAGGCATTACAGAGCAGGTGTGGAAAGTGGCCCTAAGGTTGTTGAGAGCACAGAGGACCTGTCTTAATTACCACAACCCTGCAAGGAACGTCATTACGCTCTCTAGCAAGAGGGGGCCCCTGATGCACAAGAGGCTAAGGAACACCTCGTAGTCACACAGCTGGTCGGCGGGTGGGAGGTGACCTGGGTGGGCATTCCCTCTTCCATCACCCTGTGAGAAAGCCCCACTTAGTCGAGGACACTAACGTCAATCATGAATGCTGGACCACCTAACCCTTCCAGGACTTGGATGTGTTGACTCAAAAACCATCTGAGGGGCACAGTTTTAGGCAGAGGTGGGTGGGGAGACAGACTGAGGCAGAGAACTCACTCTTATACAGGTCGATGTACAGAGGATTGGTGCAGGCTCTCTACTCTCTGCCTTATCCATCTCAGCTCCCGTCTTTATTATTTCTTCCTCCTGCTTTCTTTGGGTTACTCTGTTATACTTTTGCTAACTTCTTAATTTAGACCTTGGACTGTTAATTTTTAACCTTTCTTCTTTTCTAATATAAGCATTCAAGGCTATGAATTTCCCTCAAAATACCCTGTTGGCTGCATTCCACAACTATTAACGTAATATTTTCCTTATTATTTAGTGTAAGTGTATTTTAATTTTCATTGTGACTTCTTCAACTCGTGAGTTTTTTAGAATCTGTTTTTGAGTTCCCAGATGTATGAGGATGTTTAATTCATCTATTTGTTATTAATTTCTAAATTAATGCCTTGTGCTCAGACCTCTATGCTACCTATTCTTTGAAGTGTGCTGAGTACTTGATCCACTTTAGGTAGTTGTCTATTCCCCACTGTTGATACACAATTCTTCTGTCCACTAGATTAGGCTTGTGACTGTGTGGGTATGGGGTCTGTGGATCCATGGTTGTTGTCAGTTCTGAGGACTTTGCAGCCACACCTTCAAATCCTGCCTCTTGCCTTCCTCTGTTTCACTTTGGGGCTCTAGGGTGTGAGGCTTGCCCTGGGTCCTCCAAGTCTCAAACTCTTTCAGAATTTTTTAAAAAGTTTTATGTCTCAGCTGCTCAGTTGTACAACACACTCTTGTCATTAGTGCACAGATGGCTACTTCTTGTTTTTGTTTTTTTTTTTATCTACAGGACAAAATAAACCCTGTGAACCACCACACGAAAACTGCACATTCATAGTAACATCCACCTCCCTGTCTGCCCCCTCCCATCCATCCCTGAAGTAAAGGACCTTCATCTAGATGGATCTTTCCTTTGTCTCTTTTACTATATAGTTTTGTGCATCTATGGACATTCCTATATTCCTAAAAAGTAGATTTCTTGGTTTCAGTTGCTTTTAACTCTATGAAAAAGGCGTCATGCCAATTGACTCTTTTGAGTTCGTTTTCCCACTTGCTCACATTACAGTACCTCATCCTCCTCTTTGTGTTTCCTATTCCCACAGTTCAGTGGGCCTTTGAAACTGTGGGCTTATAGTTTTCATCAAATTAGGAAATTTTTTGGCTACCATTTCTTCAACATTTTTTCTACCCACCCCTTCAAGGGCTGAATCGCACATACTTTAGGCCACTTTAATTCTCTTTCCTCTATCTCTTTTATTTTGTGTGCTTTCTGTTGCTTTTTGTTTCAGTTCACTAAATTTTTTTCCTCTGCAATGTTTAATCTGCTGCTAATCTCACCAGCATATTTATCATCTCATACATTATAGTTTTATTCTCTAGAAACTCAATTTGGGTCTTTTTATGTCTTTCATGCCTCTACTTCAGTTTTTAAACGTAGAGAGAACAGTTATAATCACTGTTTTCATGTCTTTATCTGCTAAATCTAACATTGGTGTCAGTTCTGGGTCAGTCTCAGTTGATTGACTTTTCTCTGGGGTTGAAATTTTGCCTCTTATTTGCAATTCTGGTAAATTTTTTTATTGGATTCCAGATACTGTGAGTTTTCCCTTGTTAGATGCTGGATATTTCTGCATTTGTTCCGGGATGTAGCCAAGCTATGTGGAGATGGTGTGATCTCCTAGGGACTTGCTTTTTCAGATTTTTTTATGTGGGACCAGAGTGGCACTTAGTGTCAGGCTCATTATTCCCATTGCTGCAGTGAGACCTTCGTGAGTGCTCTGCCCAGGGCCCCACCAGCCATGACATGCTCAGTCTGCTAGAGGGAGCAGGTCAGCTCCCAGCCCTGTGCACATTTCATAGACTGTTCCCATGAATCTCATTGGGCGATTCTTTCCCGGACCTCGTGCACCCTGAGTATGCAGCTGAACGCCTGGGGGACCCTGTGCAGTTACTGGGGCTCTCGGTGCAGTTCTCTCCCCTCTGGACTCCATCCTGCGAGCTCCAGCTGCCGTGGTCTCCCCAGCACTCGTCTCCACAGAGTTCACTGCCCCTACCTGGGCTCCCCCTTCCCCTTGCTGCAACCTGGAAATTCCTTGAGGCAGCAAGCAGGGACAATTGGACAGCTCACTAGGGATCACTGTCCTTTGTCATCTGATGTCCTGTGTCTTGAAACCATTATTACACACACATTTTGATCATTTGGGGTTGATTCAGAGGGTAGAGTAAATTCAGTCCCTGCTACTCCATCTCGACCAGAAATATCTTTCTGTGTAATTATAGTTCATTCGCTCTGACGGCCACACAACATTTCATCATGTGAGGGACCACAGTCAGCCATTCTCCACCTCGCGTTCTCCACCTTGCGTTCTCTACCTCGTACCTGCCTTGTTGTATTACGCTTCACTGACAGCTGTATTTTTTACTTTATCTCTGAAAATTACATTTGGTCCACCTGTGTCTTGTGAAATGTGCATCCTTGTAGGTTGCATACATCACTTTTTAAAACATCTCTTACATAGCTGCCCGATAATCTGACAGTCACAGCCTCTCTGGTCTGTGGGGGTCTGAATTAAACTTTCTGGTTTCTGCTGACCTCACTTGGACAGAGCGGGCTGCCATCTGTTTCTGGGCTTCCTTCTTTTCAAGCTTATACCTTGGTCCTAATCTGTGAGAATTCTGAGAGGCCCCAAAGCATGCCTTCCTCCAGAGAAGTCCCCTTCTGCTGCTTTCCGTGCCAGGACAGAGGACCACTTCACCTCCAGGGGCTTGGGCTCAGAGCTGGGCCCCAAGTGTGGCTCCCCTGTCACCACTAGTCTGAAGTGGGGTGGTCACCACAGAGTTGATGCTCTCCGGTCTGGATACTGGACCCCTCCTGGGCTCCACCAGCCCCTTTCGCCTCGCACCACACCACACCTGGTTCAGCATGCACTGGAGGCCCAGTCGGTGGAGGGAGTGTGTCCTAACCAGGACTGGAGATGTCCCTGCATGTCGCCCCAAAGGGGTGTGACCAGCACAGATTCAGCATCTTCCCATCCCCGGTGTGGCTGTGTCAGAAGTCAGGCCTGCAGGCTCTTGTTTTGAAATGTTTGAAAAACACAGTTCTTGCCATTTAGTGTGATCGAATGGCGTGTGCTCAGAGTAGGCTGAACAAACAGCTGCATAATAGCAGAGATGACATTTGCTGGACGACTAAATAGCCCTCCTGTTGATCTCATCCATCCCCGGCGGTAAATGAGGCTGCTCCCGCGCCCGCCTGGGGTCACATGGAGCAAGACAGAACTGCAGGAATCTGAGGCCCCAGGAAAGTGCCGTGGGCACCAGGGGGCATCACAGGTCACATGCCAGCCAGCAGGAGTGCCCTCTGCGGCCAGCCTCAGGTTTGCTGTGCCCACTGTTGGTCCGCCTGGCAGCTGACATCACGCTGGCTGTAGCTGTGCTGGCTGACGTCTCTGTCAGCAGCAACTGATTGATATAATGGTAAAATGGGCTTCAGTCTGAGATGCCCCAGGAGCAGGGCGGGGCCAGCCCCCTGCTGAGCTCCCCGGTCGTGTAGCCACAGCCTTCTGCTCTGCCGAGGTGTCTCTCAGCTACAAGCTGGTCGTCGGCCCAGGAGCCACCTTCATCCAAGTAGTTTCTGTTTTCTGAATAATCCCTGTTTTCTTTCAGTTTCGCCACTGGCTCGTGGTGTAGAGGGGAGCAGAGAAGGACAACCCACAGGGCGGCTGTCCCACCGTGGGAGAGACACAGGTCAAGGAGGAAGCTCTAAGTCTCGAGAGAAAGGAGGGCTGCTTCCATTCTCACTTCTCCTCCACTGGAGACGCATGGGCTTTGCCTTCTGACTACTCACACCTCCCTGTGCTGTGGGAGAGGATGTGCGTCTGTCCCAAGTTGCTGTGATAACACACCGTAGATCTGTGCCTGTCCCCACAGGTAGAAAGCGTCCGAGTTGTGTCCTATCCGTGTCGAGCCGCCCCCTTCCCCCTCGCTTTACCCAGGGGCTGCCCAGGCACGGGTCTGGCGGCCCTCATGTGTTGAGGAGAAATACGATAATTGTAGACGCTCTCTGCTGAGAATCCTGCCATTCGCATAGCTCCCTGGACCATTTATTTTGCTCATATTAGAAAAGCCAAGTATCCTGTCTTGTCTAATTGTGGAGAAGGTGAAATGGAAGAAACCGTGCAAACGGCGAGAAAGTGGGCCACACGTCTCCGTGTCACTCACACAGTCTGTGCTGAGCCCCCCGGGTGGGTCCTGGTGTGAGTGATGGGGATGCTGTTTATTTCCTTGTAGCTGAGACAAACAAAACTCCATGGAATTGTGTGGGCTGCCACCTCTCCTGCCCACCAGGGGGGTCGCCATCAGCTCATGGTCAGCTCACCATGGATCCCCTGGCTGCAGGGGAAAGCAAGCTCCCTGCGAGCAGGAAAGCAGTCCCACCGGCTGGACCCTGACCACGCAGAGCCCCTGGGGCAGGCCTCCTGGAGACCCCACCAGGGCAGCCTCGAGCCCTGACCTGGGGAGGAAGAGCCCATCAGAGTTTTATTTCTCTCCAGCACACATCACATCAATAACACTTTCTGTGTTAGGGAATGGCTTTTTAAAATCTCATTTACCTGTGAATCAAAACCCATGCTCAGAGTGCAGAGTCGGTTTCTGACATTCTGTTTCTGACGTTCCGGGTTTTGTGGACGAGAACGTTAGCCATATGAGGTGAAGACTGTCGGCCAAGGGCTGCTGTCCCCAGCACACTGGCGTCTGTCCCCAAGGGAAGAGTGGCTGTTGGGAATCGGACGCAGCGCACCATTGAAGGTGCACCAGGAGCTCGGCTCTGTGCCCGCCACAGGGAAGTCGCGCTGCGCATGCTGCTGACACAGGTCCTTGGGGAACCTGCTCAGCCGTCCCCAAGGCGGACCTCAGCCCATGGCCCGTGGAACTGGCCACTCAGGGAAGCTTTAGCTTGTTGACCAGAGTTGTTTGCGGTTGTGGCCAAGAGGACTTGGTCTGCCCTCTCAAGGAGCATTGAGTACTCTGTGTAGAAAACCAGTGTTATCTGTCTGTCTGTCTCCATAGTCAGCATCTGTGTGGGTTACCACCACCAATAAAACCTATGTGGGAAAACGGCCGTGGCTGTGTGGACACTTTTTTGCTCGACCCCATTGGTCTGCTGGGCGGCTGCCACGGGCTCACAGCTCCCACCCCCTCACAATTTCTCCTTCTCTGGGCTCCTCCCCGCCCTGGGGAAGCACAGCCAGGGGTTCACCCGGCCCCTCCCCAGGGCTGTGTCTGCAGGTTCCACCTATGCACACAGCTCAGCACTATCCTGTCCTGCCTCTCTCGAGCTCTCACCTGCCCGACCAGCTCCCCTGCGGCCTCCCCATGTACCCAGACTCCAGCCCTGCGGTCTGACTACCACCACACAGCCCAAGCGTATCTCTGGAGATGTGCCACCAGAGTCCTGAGTGGCTCCCTGCCCTTGGCCCCTAAGAGTGTCCTATCCACTCAGTGGCCAGAGGGGCTCTTCTAGACACTGGTCAGTTCAGGCCACGGACCAGAGACTTCTGTGGTTTATCGTTATAACCACAATAAACACTAGTGCCCCTACTGTGACTTTCATGATAGATACTAGTCACTCCCGCCAGGCCATGACCCCCATGATAGGACACTGGTCACTGCCCCAGCCCACATGATCATTCTCACCCCAGGTTCCCAAAAAGCATCCTCTTCCCTTGGGTCTCACTCTCCCAGGGACCATGGGAGCCACACAAAGTCCTCCTGTTGGCTCCACCCCACTGGCCATGCTAGTGAGCCACACCTCAACCATCCAGCACATCCTGGTGCTTCTTCCCTGGGATGCCCTCTGCCCCTTGGCTGTGGCCTTCCCTTCCCAGCTCCCGCAGGTGTCTCCATCTCTCTCAGCCTCTGGATGTCAAAGGGGAAGATGGAAGATGAGCCATCCCGACAGACCCCGGCCTGGCCATCAAACCGGCCCTGAGGGGATTGAGTGAGCTGGTAGGACCTCCATACTGCCAAGTCCTCTCTGCTCCAGGGCACCAGGGGCCTTGGGAGCAGAAGTCATCCGCTTTGACTGACTGTTTGTGGCCTCCGTGGGTGCGGGCAGGACCCTGACCTGTTCTGTTCCAGCTGTGCGCTCGTCCAGGTGTAGCATGGGCACCTGCAGACCCCGGGAGGAGTTTGTGAAACGATGGCCTGATTGTGGCCACAGCCTGAAGGGCACTGAGGGCAGAGGCTCCATCTAGCCCCACATGGTAGCTTCCAAGTGTCACACACCAGGGTGGGAACAGCCTTGGAGTGGGAAAGATGTCCCACAACTCCCAGGGGCCCGGTTGTCCTTCCTTCATATCCCCTGGCCCACAGGGACACATGAGCCTGCGTGTGCACATACACACCATGCATGCTGCATATGTCACACACATACACACACAGACACTTATGCTGCACACGTCATACACACATGGACACACACACCACACCTACACGTGGGATCACCTACACGCACACATACACACAAGCTCACACGTGGACACATGCACACACCATGCATCTGCACACATCACACTTGAGCATGCATGTGCACACGTGCACACACACAGAGATGCTCTCTCACTGGGTCCACGCAATCAGCAGAGATCCTAGTGGTGAGCTGGGAACAGGCTTGGTACTCAGTGCCTCTATGGACAGTCCCAGGGAGTTGGTTCCATGGAGCCAGGCCACCCCAGAACTGCTGACAGCTCTTATCTCCGCAGCCCTGGTTACGACTGGAGTTTCCTTGGTGTCCTGGCCCCGAGTGTCTGGGCTGGGGCCTTGCCTAGGCAGTCAGCTGCACAGACAGCCACACACTGCCCAAAGCCGTGCCACATATGGAAGTGATGAAGGCCTTATACCCTGAACATGCAAAGAACTCCTACAAGCAATTTAAAAAAAGAGGGACAATCCAATAGGAAAACAGGCAGGAATCTCGAGCGGGCATGTAGCAGAGGATGCATGTCAACACGGTCGATGAGCCTATGAAAAGATGTTTGAACTCATTGGTGATCAAGGACGTGCAGGTAGTGGCTTAATACCTCCCACTCACCACACCAGCTGGAGTTGAGGAGTCTGTCCCCCGCCGCCCCCAGGAAGCCCCAGGATCTCTGATGCATGTCAGGTGAGAGAGTAAATTTCACAGCGGCTTGGGAAAGTGCTTCCACCGTCTGGGAAGTTGAACATCAGTCGCAGAGGCTGCTGGCGCCCCATCCCATTGCATGTGGTTTCCTGCCATCAGGTGTGAGCCATTCCCCACCTGTGCAGTTGTACCCTATCAGCTCACACCTGGACCACCCCAGGGACTTCCCTGGGTGACTGGCCCCTCACCCAGACACGCCTGGGACGCAGGCCCCAAGGGTAGTCTATCGCCATCGCTGACAGGTCCAAGTATAAGGCAGATCGTGCCCCAGGGCTCCCCATGGGTCAGGCTGGGCTCGACCTCCCCTGAAACGCCCGTCCTCACCCCGTTTCCTGTACTTCCTCCCCCTGTTCCCCTTTCAGCTCTGCTTCTCAGCAGCTCTAGCCTGAGAAGGGGCACATCCTCAAACGCAGCAATTCCACCTCCAATCGTGTGCCCAGTGGATCATCCACACACGTCTGTCAGGACACACGTGCAGCAGCGTTCCTGATGTGAACCCCGAAACAACAGGAACACCGGTCAGCGTTGGGGTGAGTATCTTTCAGCTCAGCAAGGGAGGACCTGTTAGCAGATGGCATTGGCTATGGGGTGGCATAAACAGGTTAATTTATGTCCCCAGAAAGAGAGAGTGAAGCCCTAACCCCAGCACCTCGGGAAGTGACCTCATTTGGAATATGTCTTTATTATTGTCTTGGTGTCACCTCAGAGAATATTCCAGAGCATCAAGTTTCTGCTGCCCCACATGCTCATCAACACAAGTTATCTTCTAAAGGCAGCTATTGTGGTGGGTGTGAATGGGTGTTCCCAGGCAGGAAATACATTTAACAGGACGTAACTCTTTAGGTTAAGCTGAGGTCATCTTGGAGTAGGGTAGCCTTAATCCATAGGATTGGTGACCTTATAAGAAGAGGAGAGACACAGAGACACAGAGGGAGCAGAAGGCTATTTAGAGACGGGGACACACTGGGGAGACGGCCGCAAGACGACCACGGGAGAGACTGGAGGTAAAGCAATCACACTCAGGATTACTGGTAACCACCAGAAGGTAGAAGAGAGGCTGGAGCAGACTCTCCTTAAGGGCCCTGCAGAGGGAACCAGCCCTACTGACACCTCGATTCCAGACTTCTGCCCCCAGAACTGTGAGAGAATGAATTTCTGTTAAGTCCCCTGGTTTGTGATGCTTTGTTACAGCAGCTCCAGGAAACCAACACAGGTGGTGAGTCTGTCCAGGATATCAGAGACAGTGGGCCACCCTGAGGGGGAGTTCAGGTCCCTGAGACCACACTCCAGCCTCCAGTCTAATAGGACACCTCTCCCAGCTTCTCATCTCCCTGCCCTGCACCTCCCACTTGTTCCCTTTGTCTAGAACACTCTCCTTTCCACTCCCACCCCCCACTTCCCAACCACTGACTCCCAAAACCTCTCCAGCTTCTCTTGGACATGACCTCTGGAAGCCTACTCCAACCCCTGCTTGTAGGTTCAGCCCCTGGTCAGTGCTCCTTGACCCCCCACTCTCCCCAGGTTTCCCCAGCAGGTGTTGCATGGAGGGGAGAGTGCTCATTGTTTCTCTTTCCAGTTTGTCTGGGAGCTCCCCAGGATCAGGGGCTGAGTTGGTCTCATTCATTTCTGCCAGTGTTTTGAGTAGACCTGGTACACAGTAGACAGTGGCACTTAGTATATATTTACTGATAGATGAGTTAATGGGTGGGTGTTTAAATGGATGAGTGAGTGGATGAATAGATGGGGGGTTGGTGTATTGGTGGATAGAAAGATGGATGGATAGAAGGAGGAAGGGGAGAAAGGAGGAAGGGAGGAGTATAAGAAAGAATGGTGGGTGGATGGAGGGATGGATGAATGGATTGGTGTGTGGATGGATGGCTGATGGGAGGGTGGTTGGGTTGATGGATGGATGGATGGGTGGATAGAGCCTCTGCCCTCAGTGCCCTTCAGGCTGTGGCCACAATCAGGCCATCGTTTCACAAACTCCTCCCGGGGTCTGCAGGTGCCCACGCTACACCTGGACGAGCGCACAGCTGGAACAGAACAGGTCAGGGTCCTGCCCGCACCCACGGAGGCCACAAACAGTCAGTCAAAGCGGATGACTTCTGCTCCCAAGGCCCCTGGTGCCCTGGAGCAGAGGAGACTTGGCAGTATGGAGGTCCTACCAGCTCACTCAATCCCCTCAGGGCCGGTTTGATGGCCAGGCCAGGGTCTGTCGGGATGGATTGATGGATGATGGATAGATGGGTAGACGGATGGATGGACAGGTAGGTAGATGAACAGTGGATGGATGGATATGTGGTTGGATGGTTGACGAGAGGGTGGTTGGGTTGATGGATGGATGATGGATGGATGAATGGATGGATAGATGGGTGGATAGACAGAGTGGGAGTGGGGTGTTTGAACAGGGGCATAGATGGTGGAAGGTCCTGTATTAGATCTAAAAGTCTGTCATTCTGGTCCAATCTCAAAACCCCCTGTGGGGCTAGACATATGAATGCTGTATTTGGCATTTGTTCCCCAAGGAGTCAGGCTCTTTAATACTGTTAATTTCAAAACACCTGCAGAAGTGTTCTCCTGCCGCGCTAACCTGGTGCAGAACCCGAGCTCCCGGGAGGGGAGAGCCTGCAGCGCCCCTTCGTCCTGGTGGTGGGAGCTCAGTCCCTCCGCCCACACTGCACTTTACCATCGGATTTGCACACTTCGCCCAGTGACCTTTAGACACAAAGTCTGGGTGTTAAAGCCCAGAAAAGCCGTGTGCTGTTTCCTTTGAGAGAAGCATTTTAATAAGGGTTCAGGAACGGTGAAATTGGTGAATTAAAGGCTAAACGGATTCCTCTATGTTTGGCTTTTCTTGTTTTCACTCAGCAATCCCCTGTAATCTCTGCAGATGCGTCTGACCAGCCAAAGCTCGAG